TTGCACTTGGAGCCCCCTTTGCCTGATTAGAGCTCAGAAGAATTTCCTAGCAGGAAAAGCTGCATCATTTCAGCCTTGCACAGTGAGATTTGCAGCAGTCTCACTACTGACTGCCTTGGTTGTTGATGCCAGGGGTTGTGGCAGTTTAGAAGAGCAAAATGCTTTGACCAGACCAGTGCTGTAAGCTTTAACTGCCTACTGGGACTGGTTTGCAAGGTGCAGGCCTGAAGCTCTAGCCCTGTGCCACCGAGAGCAACACAGCTCTCCTCTCAGCTTTGGTAGGTTCAGAACCAGAGATTATTAACTGGAGTGTTTTTAACTAGAAAACTGATGAATCAAAACAATATACCAAAATATTTTTGGTCCTAGATTTTCTGTCTGTGTTTTGAAATGTTTTGAGATACCAGAAATTTGATCTTGCTAGAGAAATTGAAATGTGTATATACATATATTTTTTTTTTCAATAATATATATATTCAATGAAGGAATACTGTAATGTGGAACATGCCAATAATTACATTTGCTGATAACATAACCTATAATCATATGTATATATGAGATTATCTCCCTATGTAAGCAATTTGATTTAATGAGATCATTTACGTGGGTGTGGAAGGTAATTCTCAGTACATTTGCAGTTCCCTACATGAAGTTTATTAATAGTCTACTTAAAAGCCAAGTTAAAGATTTTCAGAAGTGACGATTACTCCAGGGGACCTCATATTCCCAGTTTGCAATGTCATTAAGAGACCTGATTTTTGGAGGGGAAGGGCTTAATGACAGCAACAAGTTAGGCTCCTTTCCAGGTGTGTCTTGCTGGCTGTCCCCCACTGCAGAGAGCATCCAAATTCACTTCACGTTTTTAAACACAGTATCCAAGCAGTCTGAAGGTTTGAGTGAACTTTTTCTCCAGCTGATTTGTTTTCAGGGTTACCTTTTTTTTCTGTCAGTGTGAGACATGCCAGCACAGTGACAAATATGGAACTCTGTTAGCTGTCTGTTTTCACTGCTGGTGCACAAGGATAGTAGATACAAACCTCACTCTGTTTTTTTCTTTTCTCTCTCCCACCCCTCCCCAGGTTTCAAGTGGCTATCTGGTTGTGGCTTTTGTTTATGTGACTGAATTTGTTGGCATTAGAGCACGAACCTGGGCTTCTATGCATGTCCATGCTTTTTTTGCTATGGGAATCATGGTTGTGGCACTCGCGGGATATTTGGTTCGCACCTGGTGGGTCTATCAGATATTTCTCTCCATAGCAACTCTTCCCTTTGTCTTGTGCTGCTGGATGCTCCCAGAAACACCTTTTTGGCTCCTGTCAGAGGAAAGATATGAAGATGCACAAAAAGTGATTAATACAATGGCAAGATGGAATAAAGTAAGCACTCCCTGCAAAGTTTCTGAACTGTGCTCAGTCCAGCAAGATGATCCGGTCAGTGGCAGAATGGGAGACAATGACACATCCTCAACAAAGAAGCACAACATCTTGGACCTATTTTGTAACTGGCAAATTGCAAGAAGGACCATCACAGTCTGGCTGATCTGGTTCACTGGGAGCTTGGGGTACTACGTCTTCTCCCTCAGTTCTGTCAGCCTAGGAGGCAATGAATATTTAAATCTGTTTCTCATAGGTAAATATTTTTGCACCTTATTCTGTTAATGACAGAACTGAAACATAACATTTAGAAATGTCTATGCATTTGACAGATTTTTACTTTGCTCAGTTATGAACCTTGTTCATAAAGGTTTCTTGCTAACTCGTCATGAAGTTGACTAACACAGGAAGAATATCATTCACTCCAAATCTCACTCTTTCTGATTAACAAAAATAAGAATTTAAAATGTGTTGGTGTACAAAATTCTTCTCTGTCTGTCTTTCTGGCTGTAAAACCATATTCTGTTTGTCTCCTCTTTGCCTTGCAAGCATATAGCAGATGCCCACAAACACCAAGGGAAGCATACCAGCAAAAACAAAATTCACACAGCTCTGTTAAAAGCACAAACTAGGAAAAGGAGAGGGAAAAATATTCCTTTTATCACTTAGAGTCATGATATTTTGAGTTTGTCTGTGTAGAAAACAGATTCATAATTCTGAATGATTCAGAAGCAAGAATCATTTTATTTTTTGCATAAGTATGATTTTAATTAAGTTGTAATGTTATTTTAATTTTGTCATTCATACTGTAATATTCCTCTGGTATGTAAGTTGTCTATAAAGGCAGCTCAGTGCATTCAAGGCCTGATCCAAAGTTCGTTAAGATCAGTGGAAACGTTCCATTGACTTCAGAAAGCTCTAGGTCAGACACAGCTCTGAGCCAGCAAAGATTTAAATCACACACATTGCCTTCTGCTGCTGAGTACCCTCAGTGAAGTGAATGTGACTGATGGTGTACATAAGCACACAGCATGGGGCTCTCCTGAATCCAGTTGGCTTTGTCATGTATTGCAGTGTATTGTTAGACTGATGTGTTGGAGAGTGGGTGCTAGTATTGCACAACAACTGTTACAATGGAATATACCATATCCACCTCTTCCAAAACATTTCAGCAGACTAACAAACACTGAATAATTGCAACCTGCTTTTACCAACACAAGCCCAAAAGATTATTTCCTGACACTATAGGTATACTGACATGTTAGATGCACTTAATAAAAGAATGCAGCATATTTGTTCAGGGCTGTATTTTGTGTTCTTCCTTGATTTTGCATCAGACATAGTAGCATTCTTCATGTGCAAGTTGCTTTAAAACATGTCCAAACTGGCTTAGGCTCAATATAATTTGTCTAAGGGCAAATCATGTTTACACAGTGTTTGTGAACAGTCCTAGCCAAATGCCAGTTCCTTTAGAGCTGTGGAAGTTTTTCTCTGGAAAGAGCCATTGGGAAGAGATGATCTGTACTAGGAGTGGGATGTTGTAAACATCTGCCCTCTTTTTTTATGGAGAAGTGAGAAAGCTGAAACTGCACTCTGTATTTGTGAAGATGGCTCAGAAAACTGCACCTAGAGTGGCTTTGCTTGCCTTCTACTTTGGGCTGATTTTGAGCTGAAGCTGAGTGAGGCACCTGTGGCTTCAGTTCTGTGTCTAGGTGGAAGGTGGTAAATCCTGAGACACGTGTCAGTGTGGCACTACACTATTCCTTGTGGGCATGCTTAAGCTCTTGATGTGAAAATACCTGAAGGAGAAGAGGAGCAAATGTAGAGCTTTCAGCCACAAGTGCCAGTGGCATAAAAGCAGAACTGTGGCCTTGCTGTTTTCTGTAATTTTCCACCCCAAAGAGAACTGGAGTTGTGCTGTGAAATCTGTTTCCCCTGTCCTTCTCCACTCCCACTACCCTATTTTTGGTCATCCTTTCTGCTTTCTGTCACCATTTCTGTTAACAAATGAACTCTGCTTATCTCTAGACTTTACTTACTTATTACTCCTTAGCTTAAATTAATCCTCATAAAGAGGAAGTTAGAGTTAAAACATGAATCTGTGTAATCATGACTTATAACGAAATCCTTTCACACTGGCAGGTGCTGTGGAGTTGCCTTGCTACATCATTGCTTGCATTGCCATGGACAAACTGGGGAGGAGAAACACACTCATTCCATTCCTCATTTTAAGTGCACTGATCTGTGTTTTAATTATGTTCATACCTCAGGTTAGTCACATATTGTTGAAAGTGTTCCTACAGTAGAAATTGGTTTCAAAGGCTCTTAAGTCAGTAGATGCAGCTGCTCTTTCTACATCATATAGTTGATTAAAGGCTGGCTTTAAATTGCAGCTACCAGTCTGAGGTTTCTGTGTTTTCAGTGCAGGTTTCACTGTCATTGCTGGAGTCATATGTAAAATGTTCCCAGGACTGGTTAAAAGTGATATGAACACTAGTAACTTACTGAGCAACTTTAAAACAGCAAGCTATAAGTATTGCTTATTGTTTAAAGCAAGGTCACAATTTGAAAGGATTTAAATTGAGTTTGGAACTGTGTCATTTTCTGGTGATACATTTATTTGTGTTCTCTTTCAATAGGATTTCAATATATTAATTATCTTAGCAAATATGGCTGGAAAGTTTTCAATAGGTGTGGCCTTTGGCCTTATATATCTCTACACAGCAGAACTCTACCCAACAATTGTAAGGTAAGAACTTTGGCCAGTTATGTATTTTTCATTACTTTGATGTTATTACCTTTGTTATGTTTCTGCACCAGATCCAGCAGCTCTTGGCATGTGTGTGGGTGACCTGGAACACTTGGGATGGGATGAGTTCCTCAGCTGCTTCAGAATTTTCTGGTGTTTGGCTGTACCATAGTTTTTTATTTATTTTCCATTCCATGTGCACTGATTGGTTTCAATGGGAAACTAGAAGAAAACTCAATACTTCCTTAAACATTTTACATGCCTTTCTTAAAAGTCCTGGTTGTTCATCCTGTGATCAGTGCTGAATGATAATTATATTTTTAATCTTAATTACAGAAGCAGATGAATTTCACTACAATATAAATTTGCATTGGCATAGCAACAGATTCCTAGTCTGATTCCTTAAAGATACAAATCCTACTGATGCTTTAAGTGTCTGTGCAGTTCTCATTGATTCCTTTATCTGTCAGAATTCTTAATCAATCCCTTTATGCCTAGATCACTTGCTGTTGGAAGTGGCAGCATGATGTGCCGTGTAGGAAGTGTGGTTGCACCTTTCTGTGTATACCTGAGAAGTGTTTGGATTTTCATGCCACTTGTAAGTATTTATTTCAGTGGTGAATGTTTCTGGGTTTGAAAAGGTGTATGTGTCACTTGCTTTCTCTTCAATAACTTGCCAAGTATGTTTTTCACATGGCAAAGGAACCAAAGCTGAGCATTTATTTGGAAAAGAAAATTGAATAAACCATTCTTGTTTGAAATTTAAAGTCCCAAAGTTTAGTAACTTCATATTCTTACAAAGATGCAGCTAAAGCAAAAAGGGAGAATTTGAATCACTGAAATATTCTGAAATGTTTTTATGATGGGAGGCAGGAAAATAGTTATGCACTGAATCCTACTATAAAATTGATAGAAACATTTTCCATAAAAATATATTGCATCTACCATGTGACATTTAGGAAGTCTCTTAGTCCATACTTCTTTTCTGCAAGTCTAGCAGTTCTTAGCCATGCTCCTGATTGATTCTCACCCTTTATCAAAGGCATAGTCCTTCCATTCTTGAACTCATCACAGGTGACTGATTTTTCTTATATTATGCCTTCATATTTTCCATGGCTTCCCTGGGACATTGCACCTTTGGAATAGTTTCCCAAAAGATAAGAATACTTTGTGCTTACTATACTTGTCTTTGAAAAGCTCTTTTTGTGTTTTTCATTTACAAGAACTGAACAAAACAATTCATTAGATAAAAAAAAAGGAAGGAAATTGTGTACTGATGAGGTTCATGGTGACTTTGATAAGCAACAGGACCTTGTATTCATTAAGCACATCTTACTTTTTAGGTCACTCCAGGTCATGTCACCGTTAGGTTTTGTCTTCTACCACCAGTTGCCCCAGAAAATAGAGATGTGACCATTCCTTTATGGACTTTGGACATTTTGTCTGTATTATGTAGCAGATTCATTTTGGACAAAATATTTGATGTATTTCCTGCTCAGAGATGAATCACATTTCTTCATTGCATTTCTATTGTGAATCATTTGCTGCTTAGAAATCCTGCAGCTCTTCAATCCCTTTTTGCTCCTGAAGGATAATTTATGCCAATATATGTAAAACCAGAAGGAATTAAAAAGTTCATTTTAAAACTGTAAGTGCAGAAGAGTTTATCAATAATTTTAAAATAGTTTGAGTTCCTTCAAAACCCCCTTCGAATTCACTGTGATGAGCACAGCAATGTTGTATGTAGAATATAGATGGCAGAAGGTGAAAGTGTAATGGGATGTGCCTTTAACCTGGATTCTTACTCTAATTTTGTCTGTCACATTGGAATTTCCCCCAAAAAAGTGCATTGTGTCCTCTTGGTTTTGCAACTACAAAATCTTCATTTATAGATGCTAGAGATTGGCTTCAGAGAATTCTTGTGAACTCATTTAGTTATTTAAATTAATTACTTTCAGTTGTTTTGGATGAAAAATAAGAGCATGAAGGAGACCACAAATTCATTTATTTCCTCAAGCTCCTAAAAATGTGCTCTCTCTTAACAATGGCCCCACACAAACCAAGATATCATCCCCGAAAAGACAAAGGGACATTTGCACAGCAGAGTGGTCGTGAGAGAACATTGTTTTCTTCATGTCAGCATTTTGCCTTTACTGGGTGAGATAAGCTTTATCTGTGCAGAAGTGCTGCAGTTAAACCACAGATGGGGAGTGCTCAAACATGCTGGAGAGCAGTGCAAATGGCAATATAAACAGAGGAATTATTTCAGCTATGAACAACTCTCAGCATACAAAAACTATCCAGAGTATTTGCAGAGTTGTGTAGTAGTTCAGAGTGAATATGTTTCCACTATTAGCTCATACTACAAAGCATTTGTCAGATTATTAAACAGGCTTGTCTTGAGCTGTAGCGTAACGTGCCAAGTCTCAGGTCAAGTAAGTGTTTGGGAATGGAAATGAAATAAAATGGATTACATTTGTAAGTAAACTGATGTATATCACATTGATCTATTGTCTACACCAACACTGTCGAGCAGTTACAACTGCTGTTTGTTTGACAGCCATGTGCAGTTATGCCACCTATGAATATTACAAGCAGCTCATTTGAATGCCTATAAATCTTGAATAACTTGCCAAGTGTGTTTTTCATGTGAGAACTTTCTAGAAAAAGAATCTCTGTTTCGCAGCTCTTACAAATGATGTTACAATAGCCTTTTAGCAGACTTTTCTCTCAGATAAACCATAAATGAGAAATTTTAACAGCTCCCACTGAGGTGACTGGAGTTAAATGAATGCAAATCCTGTGTCTAATACTAGTGGATTTTCAGGTCAAAATTTGACCTTTTTTGTTGAAGTAGAAATTTTGTCAATAAGATCACATTTTAGAGCCATCAGATGTGGATATAAATATAAACAGCAGACTACAATAATAGTTTGTTCTCAGAAGTAAAAGTATTATTTTGTAGGGATGTTTAATTCAAATTACCTTTTGTTCTAGACAAAATATATTAAGTCCTGGTCTTAGACCACTGTGAGATTATAATTGTTGCTCCAGGTAGGGAGGAGAACATATGAAAAATGATCATAAATCTCTTTTTGAAGTTTTTTATGGTAGCTGTTAGACGCTGCTGTCTGTACTGAAGTGTTGGGAACACTTGGAGAATTTGACTAAGCAGAAAGTCAGTTTTCCAATTAAGACCCTACAAACACAATGCATTTAAGCAGGTATACCTGTCAAATTAACCTCAGTGGTGCTTAAACATACTTAAATGCCTTGTGCAATAGTACACTTCATTCCATAAGCATTTGCCTATATCAGAAGAACATTTTCTGATACTGAAATATATATTTTAAATAGTACATACTTACAAAATATACACATTTGTAACGAGCAAAGGGCTAAATTATGCCAGATGCCTTGTGAAGAAGTGTGCCAAGATAAGACTGCAAAAGAGCTGCTTTGACTCAGTGTGAGTAACTTCATTGGTAAGTGTGGCTATTGCCCTTCAAAAGGTAGATGACATTTTAGAAGACCTTGGTAATACACTAGTAATTAATTGTCTCATATTCTGTCTTTCATAGGAAATAATGGAAGATGCTTTGTAGGGTCAGGGAGAAAGGAAATGCACTGAATTGCTCAGCATGCAGCAGCTTTCACATAGGGGGAAAAAAGAAAGCTAATGTGATGGAATAGAGTTATGAGAGCTGAGATGAAAAGGCAGGAAAGATGGTGGTATGTATGTTTACAGAACAGTGAGAGTTGTGGGGCAATAAGAGGTAGGTTCATGAGGAAAGGAAACGTGAGAAGAATGCCAAGTGTTTAAAGACTAACCAAAACAGAGAAGACACATATCCAAAGCACACAGTGCTGCTTTAACCTTGTTATGTTGGGTATCAAAAGTGACCCTGTTCTCATACACTCCAAATGTATGTGTGTCCATGAGCTTCAGTGTGTTTCACAGACCCCAATATCCTCAGACACAAACTTATGACAGCCAAAAGGATGTGCATAAGATAGGTCACTGTGGAGTACCTGCCTTGTGTCAATTCATCCTGTCTTGCCATGGCAGAAAATCATGTTTTAATAGTAGAGCAGAATGTTGTCACTCAGAGGTGATATTTTTAATATTTTGGAATATATCTATAAATATCACTCCTGCCACATACATGTCTGCAAGGATTTCCCTCAGCTTGTCACTCAGTGCCATTTCATCCGGTCCTATTATTGCTAGGATTTGTTTTTAAACTTTCATGGTAAGAGAATAACTATTTTATTTGCACTTTGTAGTATGCAACAGTATTTTGCTTACTTTTTTTATTTTGTCAGCCTCTATATTTAGTGCAAAAAAAGAGTATGCAGCAGTGTGACTTTTGCTTCTCAGAAGAATGCTTCAGACAAACTGTCCTCTGCTTTTGGAGGGGAAGGGAAGCAAAACCAGCATGGTTGCAAGTGCATGGAAATAGCACTGTTCAAGGTTACAAAAAGAATTGTGATTTTAAAGCACCTTTCTGACTTAAAGTCTGGCTTAGCTGCAGGTGATACCTGGCCAGTTCTTGTCTCAAGCTCTGTGCAAGAAATGTAGGCAGAGTAATTACAAATGTTCTCCCTCACCCTTGGAAAGAAAGCATTAAGCACAGGACAGACTTGAGAATCAGCATAGGGCAAGATAAGGATAATTCAGTGTCAAAGTGCACAGTCATAGAGTGGAAAAACACTGAGGCCAGGAATGATGTACTGTGTGAAAGCATTTCTGTCAGGAGAGATTTGGGTCTTTAGAGCCTGGTGTTGGAAGAATGTCAGGGTTTTAATGCTGTTCTGTGCTAAAAGGAGGAAAGTGTGAATTGTTCTCATTGAACAAGACACAGATAGGAAGGGAAAGAACAGATGCTCCTGTAGTATGTTTGTGCTCCTCTATCTGCCCCACATTATCCTGCTCCTGGCATCACTCATGCTGAAGTAAGCTGTTGTTACAAAACTGTATACACCATGGACAAATCCAGAATGTGGTCCCAGTGCAAACGTCAGTAGATGCCTGCAGTCCTAACAGCTCTTTGAAACTGAGTTTAGCAAAGTATTCCTGTTGAGAGCTAGCTCATCATCTGCTGAAGTGCTCTCCTGAGCAGGATGTGCACTTCTGTGGCTCCCGCTCAACGAGCCATACTGATAAATTCTGATCTGGCTGTGGGCAGGAGGAACCAGGTACACAGGAGCTGGAGCGTGAATTGAGATTACAGGTGGCAGGGAAATTGGAGCTCTGTGAACATGCATGTAAAAATAAGTGTATGGCATCCTAGAACCAGTTCTTAAATACATGCCTGGGAGTAGAAATACCAAATGAAGATAATATGTATTGTTTTCTCAAACAGAATTATTCCTGCTTGCACTGTATTGATCCCTTGTGAACAAAATGCTTCACTTGCTCATTCATTAATTCTGCTCCATAATCTTTCATTTATGCAACAAAGAAAGGTAGAACTTTTATACAGTCAGCACTTAAGACTTAGAATCTTTGCTTTACATTACAGTTCCTTGTGCTTTATTTTAAATGTACACAAAGATCAAAGGTACACATAACTTGAAAGACATTTCACCCTTTACAGTGACTGTTTGTTTCTTCTAGTTACTTGTTGGAATCATGGCTCTTCTGAGTGGAATATTAACCATAATGCTTCCAGAAACACTGGGAAAACCATTGACTAATACACTAGTGGAAGCTACAGAAATGGGAAGAAACAAGAAAAGCTGTTCAGGAAAGTCTCCTCCAGCACACAGCGGTGCAGCATTGGAGAAGATAGAGATGTTTGGTCAAGAAACAGTCAGCACGGAGAAATAAATCAACAGCAAAATGGCTGTTCCTAATTTTAATCATTATGTAATTTATAAGATCTTTGTATTCAAGAAATGTGACTGTTCTATAATATCTGTGCCTTTTACTTTATAGCCAGTCTTGCCTTTTCAATAGAGCAAGTATATTAAACATTTTCCACATGACTGAGGTACAGCAGAAAATCTGATAGGACTGCTAAGATCCTTTGTCAAACTTACCCAGACTTTAAAATACCTGTCTGACTTGCTGTGCCAGTTGGAATGGTTACTCTAACTGATTACTTTTACATGTATGTTAAAAATATGCCAATTCTTTGCTTCACAGTTTCTGCAGTTAGATTTGTAAACCTACCACAAAGTGCCCTGTCTGTTCTCATCCTCTTGCAGCTGACATTTCCAGGCTGGAGACTTCAAAACATGGTAAACTCAGTTACAATTCAAGAGAGAAGACTGAACACTGCATCGAGTCATATCAATAATGTTTAACTAATTTATTCTTTTCTTTTTTTCAAGTTTTCTACTAGAAAAGGTGCCATTGCTAACAAAGAAAAGTATGCCATGGCACAGCTTCTGACTGAAAAAATAACACAAAGTTTGCAAAACATGCAAATAGTTTCTATATTCATTCTGTTGAATGGCAAATATATTTTTATTAATGATATAGGAAAAAATGTTCACTGGATCTGCTGCTGTCTTAGTTTAGGCAAAACTAGACTCCTTGATCCCTTTTTAAAGTTGTACTCATTCCAGACCATTATTTCAGTGCTCCTCTTCTCACTTATTTCAGCTCAGATCTAGTATCAGATTTTTCATAGCTTTGAAGAGCTACACCATCAACTTTGCCAAATGCTTCTATCAGGATCTTCACAGCCATCAGTAGAAAAGAGTAAATGGCATATGGCTCTTACTCAGCCTCTCTGCACAAAACTGACTTAGTTATTACTGAATGTTTAGTAGACATAGTACTCATACACCATTTTTCTCATAGGTCAGCTCTCTGTAGCTCATTTTTGACTTATTACACCACACAAAATCTGTTCGAAAAGTATAACTTTAAAAATGGTAGCTGGAGGACACTGATCGATAGAAGAGCTACCAGTCTCACTCTAGTAGTTTTAGTCAAAGTATCTGTAAATATCCCACTGCTGCTACACCTTGTGTGTGTCAACACTTACTCATTGGTGCAATGATTCTGCCTTGTGACTGTGGACCATAGAAAACTGATAGATAGAAATACATCATTCTGGCTGCTACTTTTATGGCTTTGTATCCCACACCCCCTTTTTCAGTCTACCTCCAGACCTGGGGGCTTCTTCCTTGCCTGAGAATCTGTATGTTCTTTGCTTGGCCACCCTTGGTTTGAGGGGAGCAGCACAGGAACCTTCAGAGTGTTGAGGTTCAGACAGTCCTCTCATGCCTGGGTTGTGCAAATTCAGTCCTCCCTTGTTTGAAATCAGTGCTTTTCTCACCTTCTCTCATGGTATGATCTCATCAAAGCGAGTCTTCCTTGTTTACTTATTCGCCGTGTACCCCAAAATAAGACATCTGTGCTACTAGAGATAAATGTTCTATATACTGTAGAGCCTAATGGTCACATTTTTCCATTATATGTGCACAGCCATATTAGTTTCAATGACTTCTAAAACCAGAATGATAGTTTATATCCCCTTATTAAAGATTTTATTCCTCACTTCACTGTCCTAGAGTGTCAAGTAGCATTTTGTTCCGAGTATTAGGACAAAACCATATCCTATATGAGGACTAATATGCTTCAAAGCAAGCAAAAATCAGTATGTTTAAGTTCAGGGACTTTCTGTGCGATAATTGCATAAAAAGCAGAGAGAAATCTTTATGCTCCCTTCAATTCTGTGGGTGTTCCAGTATTTGCAGAGAAAACCTCCAAAGAGACCTGCACAGAATCCTGTGGCTTCTGTCCAGAGATACTAGTTCAGCCCGAGCTCTTAACCTTACCCCCATGAGTAATCCCATCATTATTCAGAGAATGACTTGAATACATACTTTGAAGACTGAAGATCAGATTACTCGCATACTGTGGTTTTTTATTTTGCTGAAGAGCAGACCTTGTATTCTTCCACTGCTTTCAGATCCCCCTCCACTTCCCAGAGCAGAATAGCTCTCTTTATCTGCAAGATCTATTGCCAAACCCTTCATGCCCTGCCTTAAATAAGGGTTTAACCATGCTAAAAAAGCAAACATCATGCAATACACCTAACAAGGAATTAAACTGGTACTGTCTGATGTTACAACCACCCTTACCACACACAGAGTTCCAAGTTCTTTCCGTATTTTGGGATTCTTTCACACTGATTCTCCCTCTTTTAATAGTATAACTGCCTTAAAACTCATTAGTCATGAGTTTTGGGAACAGTACAGTCTGTTTCTAACAAGGTACTAAAGGACAATTAAAATTAATTTTTCTACTTCCTTACCTGCTGAATAACTGATTTGGGTGTTACCCTGCTGAGAAGAGCCAGTGCATGGTCTGTGTTCCTTTGACTTGAGGGGATTCAGGACCTGGTCATCTGTAATCTGTATACATGAGGTAAAGGGGGAAAAAAAGAAAAAAGCTTAAGCACACAATCATACTGATAGTGTTTACAAGCTAAATTTTAGTTACGATTCTAGACCAAAACATAGCTTGATGGTTTTTAACCTCAAAAGCCAATTCTTCCTGTCACTGAAGTCAGTTGGTATTTGGTCTTTGATTCAAATGACACCTGAATTTCCCTGAACTAATGATCTTATATTCTTTCCTTGGAAATAAAAAGTTTGTTGATCTACAGGTACACCTTTTGTGATTTCATGCAGGAACAGCTTAGAGGATGCCTTGGGATATCCCATTCTTTAACCTAAGGAAGCATATTACTGTAAGAATAGGAAATAGCATGTGTCTGTATGTCTCCAGCATTTCTGTTTGCTGTTTTTTTCCATATGGACAAAAATATGTTGAACACTAGTCATGCATTATAAATGTAGCAAAACCAGGGTGAGTGGATTTCTTTCTCTTAAATATTCATAGATTTTCTAAACCCTCCTGGAAGAGAGCACTGAGTTTGAGAACAAATGCTTCTGTTCCTATGGGGCATATTTTCATCTCGTTGCTCATAAAAGTAATTCATTTTCATGGTTTCTTATCTGAATCCTCTATGAGTTCTTTAATGTTTGCATTTGTCATCTCTATCTTAGTGCAAATATATTGTGCTGGTCAATGTCTCTAGATTTACATAATGGTTTTATGAGATCATGAATTAGAATTCTGATCTGTCTTAATTGCTGGTCACTACTGAGCGATGATAAATGATTTTGTCCTAAGTTTGATATCATTGTTAAGGGCATACTTCTTTGGGTTAAATATAGGAATAAGAGTAATTATCATTAGTTTAATGATAACTAAGGAAAATAATATGTAAATGTGTTATTTTGAATTGCTATTTTAAACTATGTGAAAGATGTATTTTCTACTTTAACAACTCCCTTCAATTGTCTGTGCAAAATTCTATAGTTTAAACAACTATGTAGGAAAAAAGAGCAACTATGTAAACTATGTGCAGTCGTCATATATTTTGGGTGGTACCCTGAATGTCTGAACAAGGGGTGAATTCTGCCTGAAGGCTGAGAGCTTTTGTGTAGCTGCTCTGTGGAAACAGAAGAAGGTCTGACATCCCAGTTCTGGGATGGAGTGCAGGACTCATTGGCATTCTCCTGTATCTTTCACAGCTTATTTTTACCAACTCCTCAGGTACAGTCACTTAGGAAGCCTTTGCAGCATTGGGCTCAGCAACATGAAAGGCCTTTTGTAAGTGCTTAGGAAAAGGTGAGGCCACTTGTGCCATGGAGGTTTTGTGTCAGCAAGACATTTGTGGCTGCAAAAAGGAGGCTCTGAAGTCAGCTCATGCCCTTTACAAACATCTTCAAGATGCTTGTCTGAATCCCAGAACAAATTCATAGGAGAGGAATTAAACTCAGAGACTAAAAAAACAATGAAAAAATAGTGTTGACAAAAGAACAAGTTTATTCTATCAGGAAATATTCCAGTAAATCCTGTGAGTTAGTATCTCACAGGAAGAAAGATTAAAGCACATCTCTATATTAGTAACCTAATAATTTTGTACAAGATCCTGTATCAGGTGCAGTGTGCATTTTGGTAACATGAGGGAAGTTTGTACACATAGGAAGGAATTTGTTTGTCCAGAATTTGTGGATTTATTATGTTAATGGTTTTTTAAAATGTGTATTTATTATATGCAATTATGTGCAAGAATAAAGTCAAACACACTTTTTAAATCTTTACACCTTTACCACATTTAACAAACTCCTGTCAGCAACTCTCACTTTGGTACATGTTCCCATGAAGATATCCTGGCTGACATTTCAGCATTCTGTGGAGATTCCCTGTTTCAGGCTGGCAAGGATTCTGTGTGTCTTTTCCCTGTTTGTGTTTGCAGGTGTAAACCAAGGTTTGGGTAATGTGTTTGGTGGTAACTATGACAAAATGTGCATTAAAAATGTGACACGTTTTGCATTTCAGTTGCAGGAGGAATTATGATTCTCTTTTGTCTTTAATAATTTAATTCTCTAATTCTTTTTCTGCCTTTAATATAATCTGGCTGGGACAGTAGTCCCTTGGACACATTCAGTAGTGACAAAAATAGCTGCAGATGCTGTAGAATGGGTATGAGTTGATCAGGAAAGAGAATGAATAACTACAGGAATGATAAAACAAGGTACTTGTGACCACTTGGTGTTCAGAGGATCATAGAATCACAGAATCATAGAATTTAAGGGTTGGAATGGACATTACATATCATCTAGTCCCAGCTCCCCCTGTCCTGGGCAGAGACACCTCCTCACTAGATCAGGTTGCTCAAGGCTTCATCCAGCCTGGCCTTGAACACTGCCAGGGTTGGGGCATCCACCATGTCCCTGGGCAACCTGTTACAATGTCTCACCAAGACTAACTGTAGCTTCCTCATGCAGGAATTGGTGTGGGCAGACAGTGCAAGAAAAATAAGAAATTGCAGCAATTTATAATCCTGTTCTTTGTTATTTGTCCCCTTAGACCTTCTCAG